AAAAAAAAAAAAAAAGGATATTTCTCCTCTTCTATCTCTTCCAAAACATCGAGAAAAGAGAGGACAAAAGGAAAGGAAGCTTAGGTTAACTATTTCCAGACCCAACTTCACCTTTTTCCAGGATCCCGTGTGGCTCTATCATTGGTCCCCGCCATTCACGGACATCCATGGATTGGTTGAAACCTCTCATCTATCGGATCATCCGCCAATGAGGAGGCTGGAGCCCCCAGAACGGAAACAGCCCAGACGCGACCGACACTCCTGATTCGAGGGGAAGGATTAAAATCCTCCGGGTATCTCGTTTCGCACTAAGTACGAGTTAGGGAGAGAAAACGGACTAACGGTCCAGCAATATCATCCACCGCACCAGTCTGTCGGTGCCCAGCAAGGCGGGGGTGACTTGTTTGACTTCGCCGGGTGAGAGATCTGAGTGGCGGCCACGGTGACAGCTGCACTGGACGCAAACGGACCTTTTTCTTTTTTACCCTTTTTACTTTTCCTTCTCCAGTCTTCTTATTCAGGGATCATCCATTCACGAGACTCTATGATCATTCGTAAGATATTACTACATAGTCAGCTTACAACTTAGAGAGGCTCACGAACAAAGGACATGCAGGTAGAGAAGTTTAGGGAGAGCCGGGAGAGGGGGGGGGGGAAGGGTGTGCTCGGACAACACTTTCCCTCCCCTAAGAATCAAGAGTAGTCGATAAAACAAATGAGCTATTGACATAGTTCACGATTACTCTGTTCATGTTTGCTAGATCTGCAAGTTCTGGTCACTCGGCTGTGGACTATCAGGTCCTCTCTATACGGGGTCCCAGGTGACAGTTCCTCATGGACGGCATACATACAGTACATGTTCTGACTACTTGGTCGATATATGCATGCAGGCTGTGGGCCTCCACTCCGTCCGGTGGCTGGACCATTGCCGGCCATATTGATATCTGGGGGGGGGGCTTTGGGTAGGGATGACCACGCTCACGTTCCCTCGGTCGAAACCCAATCCCTGATGGAACAGTCGGATCCGAAGCCACCATATGCCAAAATGAGGGTTATTTACCTCACATATACATCGCTTGTCCAGGAAGCTTCGGCACATCCGAAACCGCCTTGCGTCGCTAACATGCCACTGGATCTCCTGCATATATGTTCAAGAAACTTTTGTAGTACGGGGTATAGAGTTTGTGTCCAAGCATTCAACGACCGTATTTGTTTTTAATTTATTTTAGACACAAAACAATAAATGATAAGACTAATTCCCTCTTTCCCCTCTCAAACAAGATCACCAACCGATAAAAAGAAAAAGAAAAAGAAGACAGAAAAGACAAAAGGAAGAGCAGGTGGACGGGAGCACAAGGACTTGGAATGGACCTCGACCCAAATCAGGAAAATCGACCAGTCCAAAGTGAAATGAAATGCATAATTGTTCTTTTGCTTGCTCGTTAGTCAAGTCGTAGCTAGTTCTACGACTAGGGGGTAAGAAAGAAAAAGAAGAAGAAGATAAAAACCAGTTTCCCCTCTTTCAAAATCAATCAATCAAGCAAGCAATCAATCACTTAGTCAATGCGAATAACTTTCCCATGGTGTGTACTTTTATCCCAGCTGGTTGAAAGCCGATTTGTTCCTTCATTCCCCCTGTCCAGACAAACCCCCTGCAAGCCGCCTGTCACTTCGTACCCTAACGAACGACTAGAACGACCAGCTTCCTAGGTTAAGGTAAAAGCCACAAAGACAACCACGCATCATAACACAGAATGCGACTCTAAAGATCCGGTAAGGGAGACTAGACCCTCCAATGTACGTACAACCTTTTGTTACTCTTTGTTTTTTTTGTTTTGTTTTAGTCCCAAAGGTCCGTACCTTCTTCGTCTTAGTGTTGCTGCGCTAAGGGAGCGCGAGGTATGTGAGTGGTTCTGGATCGGAACAAAACAAGGGATGGATGCCATGTTCTCTCTCCTTCCCTTCGTGTTGATTCATGATACTGATGGATTAATATTTCTCTTTCTCTTTCTCTTCTAAGTTTTATTTTATTTTTTTTTTTCCTTGTTTGATTACCCTTTAATTTTCTCAACGTTCTAGATCATTGAATGGTGGGATGGAGACACCACGATCTGCCTTTGTCACATGATAACCATGCGACCTGAATTTCAAACCTATCGATATTCTTCTCCGGTTTCGATTCGACCCCTTCCTGATTGCGATGCTGATTCTGATTCTGATCCTGATTATGGAGCCGGAGGTTTCCTGGGGGTCACGAGACTGCTGACGGGGATTTGACCTGCAGCGACCGGTCTAGACTGTGCCCTCCACCTGGTTTTTTGGTATTGCTCTGCTGTACGGGAGTTTCGGTATCGGTCGAGAATGTTCATATGCCGGGGAGAAGGAAGGAAACGAACCATCGATCCGTGGCTGATGGAGACGATTAGGGTTAAGATGGCTTGAGGATAACCTCGGCAGTGGTGACGGAGAAGGCGTTGTGGCTTTCAGGCTGAGATCACTTTAATTCTGCTACAGCTCATCCTCCAACCCTCGTATTTCTCCTCTAATCCTATACTAATATTAATCTCATCAATGCGTAACATGCTGCCTCTCCCGTAAGCTTTCGGAAAAGAATCCTAACTTTATTCACGCATCATGACACTTCACTTTCAGCAACAGCTTCGTCTTCCTGGTAAACATCGTACTTGTACTGACTGCCCGGGTGATCTGCCCGTAACTCCTTCTGTCCCTTCCCATACACCTTCTCCCGCGCCGTCAATCCCTCCTCCACGGATTCAGGATACAAACCCCGCCGCCGCAATTCAGGAATCAGCAAATCGACCGCCTCCTCAAACGTGCCGGGCGTCGTAACATAGCCCAGATTGAACCCGTCCAAATCTGCCTCCCGGATCCATCGCTCCATCTCGTCCGCCACCCGCTGCGGACTTCCAACGCCCACGGGTCCCAAACCGCCAATCGCCGCCTTTTGAGCCACCACCCGCGGCGTCCACTTGGGAATATCCTCACTGGTCGTGGTAAAGGCATCCAGCAAGCTTGTCACCTTGTGCGCCTCCAACGAATCCTCCGCCGTGATATCCCGATCGATCGGAATCCGCGAGATATCGACCCCGGTCCATCCACTGAAAAGAACCAACCCGCCCACAACCGAAGCATACTTCTTCAGCTCCTCATACTTCGCCTGCGCCTCCTCATCCGTCCGTCCGATGACCGGCGTAAACGTCGCAAAGAACTTGATCGACCGCGGATCGCGCCCTTGCTCCGCGGCCAGCTTCCTGATGTTGTCAATCTTGGGCCGCAACACCCTCGGCGAATGACTCGATACGAAGATAGCCTCCGCGTGAGTCGCGGCAAACGCAGAACCCGCTGCCGACGTCCCAGCCTGGAAAAGAAAGGGCGTGCGTTGTGGCGAGGGGTCCACGATATGACGCGTGCTGAGGGAGAAGTATTTGCCCTTGTGGTTAATCTGGCGGACCTTGGACGGGTCGACGTAGGTATCTGTTTCTGGATCGGGGGCTAACGCGTCGGACGCCCAGGATCCCTCCCAGAGTCTGGTCTGTCAACTTTCCCTTTTTTTGAACATGAAAAGGAAAAAAAAAAAAAAAAAAAAAAAAAAAAGAAAAAAAAAAAAAAAAAAAAAAAAAAAGAAAAAAAAAAAAAAAAAAAAAAGCTTTATTGACAAGGAGAGCCTTACCTTTCGAGCATGGCATGTCTTAAAAAGAAAAGGAAAAAAAAAAAAAAAAAAAAAAGAATTGGGGAAGCCTCCGAGAACATACTTGTACACAACCCGCAGATACTCATCCGCCTGCCGATACCGCTCATCATGCTCAATGGGCGTATCCAACCCGATCGCCTTGAATGCCGCTTTCTTCCACGAGGTCACGATATTCCACCCGATCCGCCCGTTCGTCAAATGGTCCAGCGTTGAGAACCGCTTCGCTAGTAGGAACGGCGGCTCAAACGACGTCGACGCCGTGATGCCGAACGCGAGATTCTTCGTCACGGCCGCCATGGCTGAAATCGGCTAATTTGTATCCCATTAGCAACCCCGGACCCCCTCACTCACCCATTCCAACAAACCGTAAGAAGAGAAAACTAGAACATAATAAACATACAATCGTAGGGTCTGTAACAGGCCACTGTGCCGCCCGCCGAATACACTCATCTAACTTCCCCTCGTAGGTATCATACCCGCCATAAGTATCCGCAAGGAAGAGGGCATTGAAACCCCCGCGCTCCAGTAACTTCGCAAGCTCGATCCAGTACTCAAGGTTCCGTTTCGTGGCCGATCTATCCGCCGGATTCTGCGTCCGTCAGTCTTAAATCTTTGTTGTTCTCGATCGATCCCATCACAGATGGAAACCATAACCATAACCATAACAAAAGGGACAGACAGAAAAAGAATCTAACCTAACCTACCTTCCATTGTCCAGGTGATAAGTGTCCGACGGTGGACATGTCGAACGCGTTCAGGAGGATCTGTTTCTTATCCCGTTTCTTATCCCCATTGGAGTCTGCTGTGTTGCTATCGCCCATTTTTCTGTCTCGTTCTACTGTTTGTTGTGTAGGTTGTCTAGGATTGGGCCATGGGTGGTCCCGTATATGGAGTCGACTGATTAGTTTGAGATTTATCTATTTATTTATTTACTTTCATCTGTATTTATTTGTCTGCTGAGGTTTACGGACAGTGCTCGACCCCGCATATCTCGCCATCTGTATGTGGCATCGCGTAACCGGAGGGTGCTCTTGCTGTCGGTATCTATACTCGGTAGACGAGGACAGAGAATAGATTCGTCATTGGACCCGCTCGAATCGTGACATGGGATTTAGGCGATAAGTAGGTGGTGGTTGAGGGATACGGGTTGTCACCATCCAGCGGCGGATTGCGTGATATATTAGGGGGGGTGACAGGGGAGTTTGGTTTGATGGAATCACAACCATTCGTACACAATCTGATCGCGAAGTATTGGTGTATGTGTCTTGGAGATCGAAGAGTATTGCTATAGAATGAATGCCCTGTTCTGAAACCCTTGAAGTTGCATATCTTCAAACTGAGCAACGTCTAATTTAGACGTTCTGCTGTAAAGTATATAAAATATAGAGACCAGCAGTTTTCTCCTAGTATCCGCAACCGCTGCAGATCCTAAATCTAGAAATGTATTATTACTGATATATTAGTTTTTCTTCCTGTGAAGAAGTAGAAGTAGAAGTTCTCTTTATGAGGTAAAGTCAAAGATATATCATTTCCTATATACAACTATATCAAAGTGGCTGAACCCTGCGTCGAGCTTATATCAGAAAACGATAACATTGGGCCGTCTACTTCTGATACCTATTTTAAACTACCAAACATAGAAAATAGTCGGAAAGCAGCAACAGGGACAACATGATCACCATATAATCTCACGTATCCATACCAATATCTGCGTCACTATACTACGTCTATACTAAACTTTCCCACCCTCAGCCTCAACCCTAACCACACTCCCATCCTCCTCATCACCAGCTTCCTTTTCACCACCCCTACAGCAGTCAATTAGCAAAATATCAACAATAAAGAAAAGCATAACCAACCTCCTCGTAAAAAACCCAATGCCATGCGCTAGCCCAATCAAACAAATCGCATTAGCAAGCACAAACGAATACCCCTTCGTAAAACGGGGCCCCTCAACCGTCTTAAAAACAAGCAACGGCGTCCACGCCGTCGTAGACTGAGCAACAGTATTAAGCACAACGAGCGTGACAGCGCGCTGCACAGGCGAATACCGGAGCAAGGTATTCACCCAGCCATACAAGACACTGGACATGGCTACCGCGGAGTAGGTCGTAATGAACGCAAACCAGAGGGCGCTCTCCTTGACATCCCACACCACGAGAATGACCAGTCCAATGATATTCCACACATGGGCGACGGTAATGGCCCACGCCGGGCCGAGGAGGAGATCGGACGCGAAGCAGACGAAGAGGGTGTAGAAGATGCCGAGGGCGGGGGATATAGAGCCCAGCTCGTTGACGCGACTGGTTGAGAAGCGGTTCAGGCTTTTGAGCCAAAGGAGGTAGCCGCCGGAGGAGGTGTTGATGCTGGAGTTCCAGAAGAAGATGTCGAGGAGGAGGAGGGCCCAGACGATTTTGTTCTTGAGCAGGGAGTGAAGGGTGGAGAGGGTGAAGGGGTCGTTGGAGGTGGCGTGGCCGGAGCGTTGGAGGCGCGCTTTGCTGAGGGTGATGTCTTTGGTTGAGAGGACGATCTTGTTAGGCCTTTCTGGCGTGCCTGGGAGCACGAAGTAGCCTAGGATGCCGATTGGGATGGTGATTATCGCACAGATTATGTACATCCAGCGCCAGCCGGCGAGGCCGTGGACACCGTCTAGGCGGGCAGACGTGCCGGCTTGGATTAGGCTGGATGTTAGTGTGCCGAGGGTGAGGCCGACGTAAAAGATGCCGCCTCGGCGGGAAATCTCATCACCTCTGTACCATGCTCCTGGGGGGTTATTTTTTTATGTTAGTTAGTTCTATTAGGGGGTTGGAGGGGGTGGTCATTACCGAAGATGTAATGCATGCCGGGGAAGAAGGCAGCCTGTTGTTATCGTGAGATGAGTCAATGCTATATGTTGGATATGGAGAGAGAAGGCAACGGTACCTCGAACCAACCGACCAGGAACCGATAAGCCATTAATTCTGAGTACGAGTTCACTCGATACTGGAGCAGAGTGAAGATACCCCACATGATATCCATGAACGGAATCAACCATGACATGGGAAACCTAGTGAAGAGATAGGCGAATGGGATCTGACCAACAACTGCGCCAACTGTGTACATTGTCTGTAGGTGGACGAGCTCATTTCCATGGAGGTTGAGGTCCTCTTTGAGTCCGGAAACGTAGGCATTGTCTGGCCGTCACTGTTAGCGTTGTCCAGGCTTTCGTGGTCAGGATAGCATTGAACAGGTAGGGTGATGGGATAAGGAGCATACTAATATTGGATTGATCGATGTACTTAGTCCAATAAGCTAGAAATGCATAAGGAACGATAAGGAGATCTAATTTAAAGATGAGTCGTCGCTCCTCTTTGGTATCTTGATCGGCGAACCATTGAATTTGGTACCATTTTTTGCGGGGCTGGGAGGCCGTCATCTTTCTAGTCCTGTACTATGTAGCCAGGAACAAGGAATTATTCTGCGATAATATCTATCAGGAATCCAATCCATGTCGGAGATTCCCCCGGTATTTGAGAGTTGCGCGATGCAGACCCGAACGATGCAGGCCAAGATGTCAATATAGCTCGTGATGGCGTGCCCTTTCCGTCCCACTAACTGATAACCGAAACCTTCATGCGTGATGAGAGTTTCCACTTTAAATCGATAAGATCCTACATGCCCAGGAGGTCCAGTGTTGTTGCTAAATACTGCAGCCAAGCATCGTGTCAAAAGGTGGAGAGAAGGCGTGCTCGGTAGAGCTCCAATACTCATTCGTATTTGGCAGCAGACTTGGAAAATGCATCGTAAGAATCTTCGAAATAGGTAAATGGAGATTCTTTATGTAAAGTGAGCCCTTGTCTGTCAAACTAATTGTTTTTGTACAATGTGTTCTCTTTTCCCAAGGTATCTCCCCACAGTATATCTTGCGGTCCGATCCAAGTTCATCCGGTACCTATTCCAGGTGCCAAGCTGGTTTAGGGTGTCTTGAAGCTATTATTGGTAGTAGGCAGCATTTGAGAAATCCGGAGAAAAGTTGTGAAGGGCACATTCTGCGCAGCGGTGCCGGCAAGATATGTGAACCCGAGGCATCTCCTAATTCGCTTGGTTTCTGGCGTTTTATTAAAAGGGAACACATGATGCAGGAAACCTCCTTGTAAAATAATATAAGCAGTAGGCTAATGGATGACTCCTAGTAACTGCTGGGAACTTACCATGGAGGTGTCAAAGTTGAATGGGATCCTCCAACAATGGATCGATGAGATAGGAACAATCCCATTTAATGGACTTATGTTGTCTCGAAAAGTTCAAGGAGCAGGCCATTCTTTCTCTCGTTTTTGAAAGCGAGAGACCGCCCTTTGAGGGACAAGTGCCATTTAAAGTACCCTTCTGTCCCTCACCGGAAATATGCGCCCTCCTTGAGACCAACCACTTCGCCGAGGGAGAATACCTAAAAATGTACTAGACATACAGTTGTCTCTGTAGTCCGGTTGCCATTCTCACAATAAAGTAATAGAACCACCAAAATGGACTCAGGCGGTCCATTGATCCAATGCCTCCCAGTCGAGCTTATCGATCTCATCTTCGGTTACATAGCGAATGGCGACCCAACGAGCCTTGGAAGCCAAAGCCTCAAACGGGTGAATAAGAAATTTTTTCAGCCACTATCGTGAAGCGGCCAACCCGATTATTTTTTCCGCGATATCCAGTCATAGTATGCAGGAATCACGCTCTAGCGGAATCAGCCGAGATTATAGGCGGATGGCTGCGTTGGAACCGCAGTTTTAAGTATGGCCGTCGGCTCATGAAGAAAGCCCTTCTGGCTGTAAGAAAGATGCTCCTTGTAAGGCGTATTTTGATTGGCGTCCGCCCAACCTCCAACAGCTCGGATCGGATGCAAGGAGCTGGAAGAGCCATATGAATCTACCTATGCCGCAGGTATGCAGGAGACACCGTGGTGCCCCAACACCCGAGATGGAGATTTCGAGGAGAGCTACAAACGAAATATCGCATGGATACATGTAGCTAACTTGATAGACCAATTGCCTGTTTTGACAGGCCTGTTCTTTAGGTGCGGCAGCCAGTTTCATTTCTGTCTCCTTGAAGGCTTGCATGAAAATACTCCTAGAGCAAGGTTGCATATGGAGTCTTTCTCCTTGCAGCTCAAAGCTTATCCTTATCTCGGCGGGAGTCGTCCGACACCTGCGTTTTATGAGCCTTGAGCCCGATTTATAAAGACTCTCCCACCACTAAAAGGGCTATATTTGGAAAATGGCACTCACTCGTTCCCGTCAGCCCACCTGTGATTCAACACGGTTGCCGTCTGCACAAATTGAATATCGAGGTTTGCCAGCCCTGGTAATGCGTAACTGAGCACGATATCCTTCAGCTAGGTAAACATTGCCTGCTTTTAGAAAGCCCAGAGCTCACGATATCACGCTCTGATGGTGACGCGACTGAGGTTGCCCTGTATAAAGCCCTGGGAACAATACCGCATCTCCAATACCTCCGCTTGAACCTTGACATTTCCGATGCGTCTCTAGGCAGGGAACGATACCATAGCAGCATCATCCCAAGCAAACCCCATTTCTACTCCCAACCTCGAACTCCACACAGGCCCTAAACCTCCTAGCGAGTCCTCGACGACTTTGGCAATCAGCTCTCTGCCAGGGATCTTGGGGGCCTGTGCAGGAGTCGCAACGGCCATGTTCAAAGGCTGCTTAGAAACAGCGCTATTGATTCAACCCTTGCACCATCTATCTTCAAAGCCATTTCAGATGGCAAGCCCCAAGGCTCACCACAGCTTGAGAGGATGATCATTCGTCTTCAAAGTAGTGGCTTTGAAGCACACACTTTGTTTAGTCAGCTGGTCCATATGTTTCCCTGCGTATGGCCAGTGGAGCATAATACACGCGATGGTTGCTATAATGAAGTAATTGTTACAGAGCTAGCGAGGAAGACCGAATGCCCCTTTGGGGAATCTAATGTACAATCTAGGTGTGATGTATCTGAGACCGTTGCAAGAGGAGATTTTCCACAGTTTTTGGCCGAAGAAACGGCAGACGCTTTACATGTCGGGCGGTGATATGGGATCGGAACGTACTGGGTGGAACGATTGGTGTAGGTTTTCCTCTCGCTACCAGGGATGCAGAACGCTAGATTGGTATATAGCTTGAGTGAGGGCCTTCACTGAGGAGCGGGAAAGTATAGGATTTTAGAGTTCGCTTTGTTAGAGACATATTTTAAGTATAGAGTGCAAACTGGGATATAAATGATATTTGAACAATGGAATCTCGGTTCGAGGTAACTTGGTAGTATTACATATATCTTCCTCTTGAGTATATGTTGCCAATATACACCGCAGCTCTCTATGGAAACGGGTTAGAATAGGTCTAATCCCTTCTGTCAATGTTCCTTCCGACGCGCTTGGTCCTACATGTAAAGATCCATTAGCATGGAAACAATGGTAATCGTTCTAGAGGTCCTCTTCCAGGAATCAAGGCTACCATACAAGACTATGATTGTAAGGATATCGATGGGAAAATCTTAATGCCTATGAGAAACTCTTAGCAAATTTTAGTTCGTCATCTTGTGTATGAGCCTGTTCACCGCAATGTCTATTTGCACCTTGCGTATGCACTTTAAACCAGGTGAGCAAGATAAGCTCATGTTGCAACGGCACTGCTGCCGTACGCAGGGAGTTATTTTACGACAAGCCTGAAGTCGGTTAGTTAAGTATTTTCAGTTTGTTTGGATTTGAATTCATCTAATAAAATTATTTCCTTTGCTTCTTCCTTGGTAAAGATCTTGCAAGAGTTCGCCGGATGTTTTACTGGAACAACATACGCAGCTCTATGGAGCCACCACCTTGCGGATGCCTCCAGGTCAGCTTGCACTCATTATTGAGAACTGTTGCTTTTTCTTTACGTTGTTTGTCTTTAGAAAGCTAGGCGTCCGGTAGTCAGGCTCTAGTGGATTTTTATTTATAATTGATTGGACCCTAATTCTCATTTCTCAGAGGCAAGTGTCTGCACCGAGCCACCCTCTTCATTTGAGGTGAGCACAGCATCCAAAAGTTTATGGCTACTCTCTGCATCCTCAAAAGTTGGAATAGATTTACCATCGGCAAACCTCTCGTACAACATTCCAACATTCTGCGAAAGCAACGGAAGAGGCAGCTTCTCATGCATTAGAACCGTTTCAATATTTCCAGTCTGATAGTCCGTAACCTGAATCTTGTAGTTATCTGCGCCAATGTTAAACATGATTGTGGCACCAGTTACTCGCATCTAGCCTTCCTTGCTGATGATGTCCCACATGAGGCCATCGCCTTCTTGAAATGCGTCTCCACCGCGGAATGTAGGTGTATTTAACATTGTTGTTCATTACTCCATGAAGGGATGCGTAATCGTCGGCTGCCTTTTTGACGTGACTATCGATGATTTTGTGGACATCCAGGATATCAACGTATGGCCATGTTGTTTGCAACTGTGCGGATACAGTTTCAGGCTGGCCTAGCAGGGATGCAACAAAATCCATCGTGTGGCCCGCGTAGATAGTGAGGGTGACCTGAGCCTTGGTGCCCTCGGTATGTCGTTCTCTGAAGCACAGTTAGCGTTGGTCCAGACGATTACCCGTCTTGGCGGTGGTAGAACTGCCAATAATGTGCGTTGCTAGAACTCGACCAATCCTCCCACCGTCGAGCAAATCGTGCAATGTGGAGTGGACATGGCCAACGCGAGATTGAAAGCCAGTTATGGTTTTGATCCCCTCCTCCTTGGCCAATTGGGTAAGTGCTTTCGACTCCTCAGTTGTCGTGCAGAGAGGCCACTCAACATAGACGCCCTTACCTCGCTCATTGGCAGGCTTAACGAGCTTGTAGTGAGAGAAAACGATGACGACGCAAACGACTAGATCGACGGTATTGAAGTCGCACATTGACTCAACCTAGTTGTAGGTTTTGGCTGACTCCTCGAGGTTGTACCTTTTAACAGCCTTGTTACCGCTTTCAATGGAGGAGTTGCACACGGCCGTGATAGCATATTTTGAGGAGTTCTGGAGATATGGGAGGTGAGAGATAGGCGTCCAGCTGCCCTGCCCTCTGCGGAAAGGTCAATCAATCCAACAAGGATCAGGGGCCTTAGGGGCCTTGGGGCGACATTATGCTAGTGATATGTTTCTGACCGTGATCACTGGAGGAATCATGGCTGCCAGTTTCTTATATGTTTGGAACGGGCGCGGGAGTTGCTATGTCACCATCTTGTGAACACAATTCAATTAAATTACTCATCCTCTGCTCCGGAATGTATATTCCGGCGAACCGTTGACGAAGCACTGATAATATCATCACCCGGTCTAGGAGTTGTGTGGATACGTCCATTTGTTGTTAGCATATGTGTGGGCTGTAGACTCTTCAAAAGGTGGAATTTAGATTCCTCACAAATGGTGGATTACCAATAAATACCCTTTAGCGTAATGCCAGTGGAAAAGTAAAGTCACAACACGTTAAGGGTATTACTCGCATTAATTAGAGCGGATAACTTATTAGGCGTGTTGAGGATCTAGAATATAAGAGGGCCATATCGATTTCCGTTAGTCCAATGTGTATACTGGATACGCAAAGGACAGCGCGAACTTGATGGCTACTATTTAAGAATTTTTCCTCTTCCCATTGTACCCAGTATTGATAATGTTTCTTATATATAATTGTACAGAGTGGCTTAGAAGATGGAATTCTATTATTTCAGCCCTGTTTACTATAATGCTAGCTAATATACATAAAGCTGTAGGCGTACGGTCATTCTTAATCCAGATACGATTAACTATTTCTAAGAGCACACCATAGTTATTTTAACCAAGATCTTCTTTCTTAATCTAGATCTTCTCTAATATAGAGCGAGCTCGGCCACTACGCTGGTCTCACTAGTTTAAGAAGTATATATCAAGACTAGATTAGTATTTTCGAACTTAAACTGATTAATTCTCCTCAGTCTCAAGAGTAGTGAGAGATTGAGCTGGTTTGGCTGCTGATCAGGCCAAGACAATTGTTAAGGGATCTTTGACAGGGTATAGTATCTTGCCAGTAATATTGGTTACGGCGGCGTGGATCTGATATCGTTGTTCTACGGTTCTACCCCGATCAAACGAGCGCTTGAAGAGAAGGGGCAACCAAGTTCCTTCTACCACTGGATCATTACTCTAGCCAGTCGGAGCCTGCGCGAGCTGAATATACTACGACTCACACCAGAGAGTCACCTGAACGAAGTTATCTGCTTTGCTTCTGCAAGGTAAATGCTACCAAGAAGCCTAGAGCACTTTCTTCCACCCCATGATTGAGGTTGCAGAAATGTGGACTTGGCGCGCCGACAGTGGAGAGAAAACCAAGAAAACCAGTCTCTTCCATTGATATCTCTTTCCTACTAAAATGCGGGACGAGTAGTCAAGGGAATCTTAATCATGCAACCTTCAGTCTACCCCTGGCTGAAGAGCAGATCATTTCGCAAAGCCCTAGTGGACTAGTTAAGATCTAACATTGTGCCACAATAGCATCAAACAGAAATATTTGAGAAGATTCGCCCCGAAATCAAATGTAGGGCTTTTCGTGGGCCTCCCACGTTGGATTAAAGGGAGCATATTTTGATATAACCAATCCAGTCAGATTTCCCATTACTGCTATAGCCTACATCGGGAATAAGCTGTATGCCATGTCATTTTATAACATTATAATCATGCGAGATTGTTTCGAAAATAGCACACCTGCCCCCTTTACTCCGTCCGCAACTCGTTTAGCAAAGACACATAACATCCCGTCATTCCATAGAAGCCGCCATTGTGTCCGGATGACCTTCTCCGCTTTGCTCATGATCGTTAATATTGCTTTGGTTTCTCTTGAGACCCTCGCCCCATGGGTATGTTCTATCCGAGAACGATCGTATCTTCCGAATCCAGTTGACTGCGGCCCTCTTATCTTTGTGGAAACCAAATTTACTATCAAATGATTAGCCGGTGAAGCTACAGAAAGTATTATCAATGCATCGACTAACAACCCGCCGTCAAGGAGGAAGACACGATAAATCTCATGCGGGAAATCCTGCTCGAGAGCTCCTGAGCTGGAACGATTGGCTATCGCAAGATCAATGAAGATGTGGAAGCTTGGGCTTCTCTGGGGTATATCTGGGTTTGGAGGATGGATGTGGTAATGATGTTTCCCTTGTGCCAGCTCTTCATAGGCGAGACCTTTAAGGCTGAGAAAAGAGTTGACACATTTATCAACGTCCTGGAAGAAGGAAGGGTCTGGGAAATCATGGTCCTTTGCGTATAGAATGACCCTCTTTGCCTCCATCTTGACTGCCAACGATATGAAACCGTGCTAGTTGTGATAATCAGTGGAGGTGGGAAGTCAGGATCGACAATGACCGTGGATATGGCCTCGAGTAGGACAGCCGCGACGCCCCTATAGATGACGCCATACGACGAGATTGGGTCTCATCATTATGATGACTGCAATTCGCCTAAGATAGAAACGATAAACAAAGCGGACTGATTTATGTGGTTTAGCGTCTCTCGAAACGATCATCAAGTATGTCCTTGCTGGCCTGTCTGTTTCACAGAAATACAAACCATGTCTAGACATCTAAAGGTCTAGTAACTCGTCACATGCTTCAAGGATCTCTATATGGATTTATTCTGCGAGTTCATCGATAGATCGGCGTAAGCTCTACAAACTTGTATAGCTAGGCAAGACATGTAAACAAGCCCTTATACTACATCTTTCAGGTGCACCACATTGCTGAAACCTACCCTAGCACTTCCAGCAAGGCCCAAGTATCTTCGCATCCTCAATGTTCTTACTCAATAAACCCAGCCGGATCTTGAATCCTGGGAGTTGGGAGGTGTGTCTCTACGACGAATTGGACAAAATCCCTTTTGGTCATCATCTTGCACATCAACAACTCGATCAAGATCCCGAAGATTTCCACTTTGCAGTACACAATATACTCGGTCAGGGCGTATGAAGCAGTCCATGCATCGTTGGATACCGAGAACGTATTGGTGTCCACAGCCACCTACGGGAGTATACTGTCGGCAGAGGAGTTCGCACATCTTCAAACATTAATATTCAGCATGAAGTGAACATCGTGTATTGGTACCTTTGATCTGATACTACGCTTTGCTTGAGACCTGTTTATGAAAAGGAGTAGTGGAAGGATATTTGGAAACGAGCGACAAAATTTGAGATTTGAAAGACTTGACGGCTATTCAATCCCATGATATTATAGTTAATCAAGTGTCTGACTGATTCTATATTTGGTTTGGGTGTAAGCCATCTCTCCTGGGTTGTTGTGCAAGGGCCACGTATTCTATAATGTCGCAAAGGCCAATGAAGGCAGCTTGTTTAAGCAAGTACCATTGAACTGCTACCTAGTGTGACGTCTATCAAAAGGAACCAGAGGTGATCGGTATCAGCCCCATTTAACAATCCTTCCGCGTCAGCTCTGCAGCTATCCTTGCACAACCTTTACCAGGCGCCCACCCATACACTGGCCCACAATTAGTTGAAGGTATCACAAAACACACAGGCAGAAGTTCCTGGCTAACTAAGCATTGTCGATACAGAGGCGACCGTTACTGCCTTCTATATCGGAAACATAGAGGTGCTTTTTCAAACCCTAATCACATGATGCGCTAATCCCAATATAAATATTTCGTAAATAACATGTTTTGTACTTTCAAGGTAATGATACCAAACCTTTTATGATACCCATGCGATGAGAATTCACGGTATGCCCTCACTCCGGTAACTGGGCCGCATACCCACTAACCTGTACTCTCTTAGCCACGCGCCGGATTGTGCCACTAACAAGCTGCAGTCAGATAAACTTGGGAACTGGGATGAAGTTGGCGAATATGGCAAGCGACTACCAGGATATATTTGATACACAGTTGCCTGGAGGCTTGTGCTGAATCACAAGTAGGTAGAGTGAACAAAGAAGATCTGGTTGTAGCTCCTGGAGAGCATTGGCAAGAGACCCTAAAGCAGACTTAACACATACTGCAAACGCAAAAGAAACGCCATTAGCTAATTCAAGCTGAAAACACGGCCGTTGCAATAAATATAGACAGTCGGTCTCAGAAATCCAAAACTTCTATAATTCTATAAACATCGACTGGAAATCGGTTGTCAACGACTAGCTGCGTAATTAGAGTATTTTGCTTTGTATAGGCAAAAAGCCCATGATTCGCGTTTAACAATCCCTGCATGATGAAAAGCCCAAGAGAAGCTACGTATCAGCAACTAGCAGAACTTTGGCTGAGCAAGAGACATATATCATACATTGCTGCAGAAAATGTAGTTTCATCAAGGCAATCCATCATATCTTTACCAATGACCGTGTAGTCCAGGGATTTGGCTGTCCACAATCTTCTGCTTGCAGTATAAACACCAGTACTACTTGACCTTCTTTAAATTCCGTTTAGCCGCCTTCTTTTTGAAGTGTTACTTGACTTCGGTTCCTGCTCTGCTGGTGACTGATCTGACAACGCTATAGATGTGATATTGTTGTCGGACATCGCTTGCAAAAACTCAGGTGCTTGGTCGAACTGGCATCGGCCCTTATCCTCAGCCACAAGGTATTCACTAGAAGATGCAGACGCCTGTCTTGTTTTAGATCTCTTCATATCCTCATAGAAAGCAGTAAGGGTACTCTCCGATACTAATCGATCAGGATGGTCATCTGCGAGCACCTCCGCTTCTATGTGGACAACACGCTCTAGCAGTTGGACTGCCTTCTTGACCTGTCCATCTGCTTGATATGCTACAGCAAGCTGGTGCTGCGATGCCAGTTGTGAGGGATGATCTTCTGCAAGCATTTCTGTACATATCGTGACAACATGCTCTAGCAGCTTAATTGTCTCCTTGACCTGTCCATCTGCTTGATATGCTCCAGCGAGCTCGCGTTGTGATGCCAGTCGTGAGGGATGGTTATCTGCGAGCACTTCCGTACGTATCGCGACAACATGCTCTAGCAGCTTAATTGCCTCCTTGACCTGTCCATCTGCTTGATATGCTACAGCGAGCTGGTGCTGCGATGCTAGTTGATCAGGATGATCTTCTGCAAGCACTTCTGCTTTTATCGCAACAACATACTCTAGCAGTTGGGCTGCCTTCTT